CGTTTAAATTGACTGGGTCCTGATGGAAACAAACCAGACTTTGCAGAATGAGCGTTTAATTGAACGAGTATAGTGCCGTTATTGCTCGAGTATTGTTTGGGTTTCAGGTTTCACCCGAGTATGACCGTATAAAAAATGCATGTATGTACATTGAAAACAAAACTTATGTATATATTTATTTTTATATCTTGATATTCAGCATGATTTTATTTCTTAAACAAGTAAAAAAGCTAAAGTCGGGTGTCCCGACTTTGAAATACTCTGTACATATGTTTACAATAATTATAGAAAATAAAAAATACACATTTTCTGCGTATTCACACAAGGCATCTGGGACTCAAATTTTGTGTTTCTAGGTCTTATAGTCTCGGAGATATAGGCGATTATACGAATGGAAAATCGGGAAAACCTCCATAGGGGAGAAGTGGGCGGGAAAATCAAAAAAATTAAACAAACTCGTATAGCGTACACACATAAGGCATCTTTGTGCAAAATTTGGAGTCTCTAGCTCTTATAGTCTCTGAGATCTAGGTGATCATACGGACGGACAGACGGACGGACGGACAGACGGACAGACAGACAGACAGGGCTCAATCGACTCGTCTTGTCATGCTGATCAAGAATATATATACTTTGTGGGGTCTGCCACGCCTCCTTCTGCCTGTTACATTTTTCAGCTCCCGCAAACCTAATATACTCTTGTACATTTCATGTACAGAGTATAAAAAGGTACTCAAAAATCTTAGAATAAAAAATTAATATAAATTAAAATAGCATAACTATTTTTAATTTAAATAAGAAGAAAGATATTTCTTTTCGCTAATAGTTTTGTTGGATTCTTTAATTTATATGCATTTACATACTTGTATACGAAGTTACTATTGAACCAATAGCCGAAAAAACAATTGCCATGACTAGGGAACTACCCAAACTCTACCGCACATTTCGGTCATGCGGGCTTGATTGTAAATACGACGTTAGATCATTGCTTGCACACAGGCAAAAAGTCACCGCCGCTCATTCTGAATCTTTGCTGTTGTGAGTCGAACTGACTGGTTGGTGAGCGTTCGTTCACAACCGGTCATTGCTTGCATTCATGCAAGAAGTTTCGGTCACAACCGCTCACTTCTGAGTTTTTTCAGATTTGATTCGAACTGAGAGTTCGTTGCGGGCTCGTTCACAACCAATCATTGCTTGTCACTATACCTAAATGAAAAAATCATACCGAGTATGGGTAAATACTCGAGTATGACCGAAAATATAGTACTCGTTGCAGTTCTCTGATTAGGACCCAGTCAGCCTGAAATGTTTGCAAGTAAACCAATCAAGGCTGGTACTTGTTCGCAAAAAAAGAACGCTGGCTCATTCAAGTTCGATTGTAAGAAAAATGCTGAGAGTACTTAACCCGTTCGAACTCGTTTGCAACGAAGCAAAGATCTGATTTGATTGCATTTTCTGCAAGGGTGGTCGAACATACTTGAACATACTCGTTGCTGTTTTGTAATTGTATTGTCATCAGTCCTTGACCCCTGTACAAATTTGCAAGCTGATCAGACTTCTGGAAAGTGCTAAAAATTATGTTTTCATTAATACCTTAAGGAATAGAACGATATACTATACTAGAATAAAATTTTTGTACAATAGGGGTATTCCAACAGTTAGTTAGTATGTCCGTATGTTAAGTTTCATCATGATTGGTAAATTCTGAAGAAAGTTAAAGCCACAAATAAAATTTCTGCTCATGCTCTGCCTGCAGCTCTGTCGGCAGCGCTGCCCGCAGCTGTTGTTGCTGTTGATGCTTTGGTTCAACTTTGTGCTGCATACATACACGCATATAAACACGCAGAGACACGATTCTGATGTAAATTTATTCTATTGAAATTGTAGATAACACTTATGTATGTATGCATGTGTTGAATATTTTATATTTTATTTGATTAATTAATTAAATAATTTAATAATTTAAAAAAAAATTTATTTTCTTAAATTTTTCTTTTTTGCGGAGAGTACAGGGTATTTTACTGTCGGGCTTGCTCGACTTTAGCGTTCTATCTTGTTTTGATCTAATTTTGCATTAATATTCTTTTGCTGTTTAAGTTTTCATGATATCGTTTTATATCTTTTTATTAAATATTTAATGCTACTTCAAAACTCTTGATTGATATTTTTCACTTTTTTTTGTCTTTTTAGTATATTTTCTTATGATTGCTTGACTACTGAATGGAATAGTGCACGACATACATATATACATACATAGGTGGTTTTCTTTTGTTTTTTTCCAATTTTATGAAATAAAAAAAAAAAAAATAAAGTTACGATTTGTGGGGTAGAGGGGGGAGGGAGGGAAATTCCAAAATATACATTTTCTGCGTATTCACATAAGGCATCTGGGACTAAAATTTGGTGTTTCTAGGTCTTATAGTCTCCGAGATATAGGCGATTATACGAATGGAAAATCGGAAAAACCCCCATAGGGGGGAAGTGGGGGGGAAAATCAAAAAAATAAAACTCATATAGAATACACACATAAGGCATCTTTATGCAAAATTTGGTGTCTCTATCTCTTATAGTCTCTGAGATCCAGGTGTTCATACGGACGGACAGACGGACAGACAGACAGGCAGGGCTAGATCGACTCGTCTCGTCATGCTGATCAAGAATATATATACTTTGTGGGGTCTGCCACGCTTCCTTCTGCCTGTTACATTTTCAGCTCCCGCAAACCTAATATACTTCTGTACATTTCAAGTACAGAGTATAATAAAGTAAAAACTTTCACGAAAGTATGTCTCGTTTATTTAGGTGTTTGAATGGAACTGAAACTTAAATCAAATCTATACCTATTCAAACCCTAAGCTTGGAAACGGCTACAATGCAACGTTAGCGTAACAGCCGCAGCGAGTGGCGTGATCGTCAAGTTCTAAGAAATTTTGGTCTTGGTGATGGAAACATTGCAGACGCTGTGTCAGTAATTATGGCTATGTTGCAACGGGTACTCTCGATCGTCGATCGATTTAAACAACCTGGTAGTTGACTTAGATCCTCTTTTATTGGTGAATGCAAAGCGATAAAGAATATATATATATATATATATATATATACGATTGTGTAAGTTAACAACGGGTTTTTAAATTAGACGACGGCTAATCGCTGATTCGTTACATGGCTGAAACGACTGACGACTGAGACGGCCGACTTGTGTCTTATATACGACATGACTGCTGACAACTTTAAAACGGCTTGCTGCTAAATATTGTTGCTGCCAATTGCCTTGGCTAGGGGCGGGTGGGGTTTAGAATACCCCTACAGTACGTCAACACTTGTCATATGCGGCGACTATCATAGACATGATTAAAATGTAGCTAGACGGCCGTTCAGAGAGCTCACAGAGCAAGAGAGGTGATGGATACACTTCGCGCTCCAGCAAAGAGGAATGTATGCTTGACCATCATACATTAGAATTGATACCAGGGACACAAATACCTAACGAAGAAGTCCTTGGGGCGTTAGTCTGGCGTATACCACACTCGTGCATTATGACAGTTAAATAAGCCTAAAATACATTTGAGTGCTGTGGTCGTAAACGCTTCAATGAGGTACACTCCACAAAAAATAGCCATGGCTCTGTTCTCCTGCTGTCTGTATAGGGATGCCATCTTCTTGCTATAGGTGCCTGGTTGCCACGTTATACTTGCCCATCCTGCTTTTCATCTGTCTCAGATGAAGCCTATAACTATATGCATCTATGTTCAAATGGTGGATGACGATTCCATAATATCCGAGGATAAAATGAACTAGGAATGAAACAAGACTACCGGTTCTCTCCGCGACTGCATCTGTATACAATATACACACATAGGCAGTCAATTAGATGTAATGTTTGACTATGGCATTCTGAAAGAAATGCATGACCGGCAAAACAAAATTCATTCCTGAGTTAAGGTGAAACTAGAAACAAATAAATCGATTGGGACTCGAAATTGCGACTAACAAACAGCCTGTGGGGGGGTTCGTTGATTCATTTGATTCTGCCATTAACTCGTCGTATACACATAGAATAAATAAATGAGTCCGCTATGCCTTAAATGTTGCAAAAAAAAATAACTGGGCAGATTATGCCCAGAAAGAAAGAGAAAAATGAGTTAAGAAAGGAGGAAAAGCCCTGTATTACACCTCTGAGCTACTAGATGTTATCGTAGCTAGGCTTCTTTACCCACCCTACCATGATTTTCCCTTAGCCAAATATGTGGAAAATCCCTAAAATTTCTACGACACCATATTCCCCGTCTACATTACTTTCAAGGAAAGTTACTCAAAATTTACTCATTCATGATAATATACATTTATTTAGATAAAGATGCAAAAATTAATTGTAATAACGCTCATTTCAAATTTTAAGATGCGAACTTCATGTGCCTTTAAGGGCGAAAATTGTTTGAAAAGTATACAAAGTTATCAATAATAAGAAGGGTTTAAACTATAATACAAAATGGTTACAAAAACTAACTTCAAATGATTATCTTCCAACTTAAGTATAATAATAATAATATACGTACTATGCGTTTCATTTCATGTTTAACTAGGTGTGTACCACGGTGAGTAGTTGGTTACAACGACAGCGTTATGTATGGATTTCTGCATATTAGGCTAGCTCACATATTCGATGCCTCAGCGGATAAGTATATTCAAAACAAAGTACAGAAAAAAAAATATGCTTTACCCGATTCTATTTTCGTTCAGGCGCATATGCATAAAAATCAAACAGCTGATAACTGCAACCACATGTATAGAGTTATGCATTAGTTTGATATACAAACTCAGATGGAGTTTGCATTTGGCATTTCAATATGTAATATAGGTTTGGCTCGGGTTATTATAATCACAACACAAAGTTAAATATTTTAATTATTTGGAACGAACTCATCCATCGTAATCTCCTCCGAAGGTCTTCGTAGTCGACTCTGATGTAGTTGCTGGAGAATAAATTTAAATTTGTGTCGTTTTGGTTTTGGTTGCCAATTTTATCAAACAAAACATATCCATCCTACATCGAAGACATGCTGCGCTTTCTTTACATACACTTGTTGTTGTGGAAATTATATTAAATAACTGCTTCTGTAGTTAGACAGAAAAGTTCAAATTAATAACCTAACTCAAAATTAAAATTAAACAAATTTCAGATGGCGATAGCCTAACATGGCTATTCGCGTTGGACCTGTGACCTGTCCTTGGTCATGTGGCAGAACCTTCTCTCTCCTTCCTAGTAAAATGCTGGGTTTAGTTTCGCGCTCGACACGAGTGCTGTTGTAGTGAAGTAGCTTTCTATGGACGAAACACCATGCTCATGCACTTATCATGGATATTGCATGGTTTCAAAGGCATTGCCACGAACTATGGAGTCCTTGATTAGCAACAGTCGCTTGAAACCTGCTCTGGGAGGCGCCGAATTTCTTGGCCACTCCCAATTCTCGCAAAGGTATAACGTGCGTCCTCACGTAGCAATTGCGACAGAGCCTTTAGCCACTTTTAGGTCAGATTCGAGTGCATTCGATGCGGTGCGCGGTTCCAGAATCGGGCACCAAGCTCACAATGTTTGCCTTTATGGGGCCTCACGCTATTGCGCCGTCGCTAAATTAATAAAGCTGGCCTTCAACTTGCTGCGCGTGGACTTATTTTTGTTGTTTTCCCTTTTTCCTCGTTGCCAACAATTCTGCACCAAAATATCTATTTCACTGCCCACTTATGGGTAGCTAAAAGAACATAACTTACTATAAAATAATAATATTTGGTGGATGCCTGATATTTACCGAGATTAATTTCTTTATATCAATGGCAGAACGAGATTCACGATTTATTTTCTCTTGACTGCACTAAGTACGTCCGTCGCTGATGCTGGCTCCAAAGGAATGAAGAACTACGATTGTACTCTCTATCGCTTATAAGCTGTGCACGCTATGATCCTCTCAGAGAGAGAGAGAGAGAGAGAGAGAGAGAGAAAAATAGCACGACATCGCATCTGCCAATTTGACATTTGCACTCACGATCATAAGCTCGATGCACCGATAACCCTTAGGTTAAGGTATTGGCTAAATTATGCATCCCTTGTTCACCACAAGCCGTATCGTCTTCGTCGTCTTGTGTTTGCTTTTGGTAGCGCCTCAACTTTATAAAATCGGCACTGGTTGTTGTCATCTGGAGCCCCTGAAAATCTGAAACTTTTCGAATAGTGTTACGCTCAGTTTGTAGACCCAGAATAAATTCCTCTTCCAATATTTTGATAATTTCGGTATATGCTTCGTAGCGCATTTTCACTCCAAACATAACTTCAAAACAACATACATATTCTATTGACGTTGATGGCATGCTGAACTTTTGATGTGTACTTGTTGTGCTATAGGCAGTTGTTAAGATTAGGATTTGCAAAGTTGTTTCGAGTTTTTGTATAATAAAATTACAAATTAAATTAAATTTGATTTGTTCTGCAGTTTTTTATTCAATTCTTTTACATTTAGTTGTGTATAACTCCTTAAACTCCTTCGAAGTGAATGTTGTACATTTATCGCTTATACGCTGCAGACTACCGAAATAGCTGACCCAGGATTCCACGTGCTTAATGATCTCTTGTGCATCTGCCGAACCCAACTACCAAATATTTATAGTACTTATAATATTTAAGTGTAGAGTCCAGCGTGCCCAAGTGATCGAAATGTAGTAATTTATACAGGGTGCGCCATCTTTTATGTCGGTATGTAAACATTGAATATCTTTGAAAATAAACAATCGATTTTCAAGTATGAGATATTTTTATTAAATTTGGTTCTGTACAATTTCTTGAACTGAGGTTTTCAACACTGGTCTGCTCAAGTCAATCGGTTCACTAATGACAAAGTTATATATATTCGTGTCTGTGTAAACATGTGTGCAGTCAACCAAAGCACCAGCATCAACAACAGCCGCGGGCAGCACTTGAGGAGCGCTTGAGCAGCGCTGCAGCAGCAAATATATTTATGGCTATAACTTAAGTCGGTCTATCATAGTGAAACTTGGCACACGGACACATAATAACCAACTGGGGGTATTTCCAAAATTTTAGTTCGAAATTCCAAGAATTACGGGAGTTACGATTTGCTCGGGAGAGGAGGAGGAAGGGAAATTCCAAAATATACATTTTCTGCGTATTCACATAAGGCATCTGGGACTAAAATTTGGTGTTCGTAGGTCTTGTAGTCTCCGAGATATAGGCGATTATACGAATGGAAAATCGGGAAAACCCCCATAGGGGGGAAGTGGGGGGGAAAATCAAAAAAATAAAACAAACTCGTATAGAATACACACATAAGGCATCTTTGTGCAAAATTTGGTGTCTCTATCTCTTATAGTCTCTGAGATCCAGGTGTTCATACGGACGGACAGACGGACAGACAGACAGGCAGGGCTAGATCGACTCGTCTTGTCACGCTGATCAAGAATATATATACTTTGTGGGGTCTGCCACGCCTCCTTCTGCCTGTTACATATTTCAGCTCCCGCAAACCTTATATACTTCTGTACATTTCATGTACAGAGTATAAAAAGCGCGGCTTTATAAAAAAATTCAAAAAACTGGTACTTCTTCCATACCCAAGATTATGGAACAGTGTATTACCTCTCAGCTTCAACATCTTTGCAATTCCATAGTCTCCCCATATCAGCATGGTTTTGTACCCCAAAAACCCTACAAACTTAATCGAGTTCACATCCCTTATACTATACACCGCACTGCCGTACCCTGACCTATCATCACATCTGAATCTTCAAGCTGACCTAAATGGAGTCACAATCCCTCACAAACTTCTTTCTGGTGATATTGACTCCCCTTTCCTTCTTAGCCTCGTAGACTTGGCAGTTCCCTTAAGATTTACTCGTACATTTCGTACCCTTCGATTGCCTATTTGTAGATCTAACTTTGCTTCACATGAACCCTTTCGTGTGTTGTGTTCTAATTATAATAATTTTTCACACAACATATCCTTCGAACACACTAAGACTATTTCATCATTAATATACTTGCAGCTTGATTCTGATAATCTCTAATCCTATCTTACTCTACTAGTTGTTTCACTTGTTGAATTTTCTTTTAAGTTATACTATTTCATATTTTGTATATTTATAAACATTTTTTTCTTTTCTCCTTCTTATTATTATTTTTATACCTTGTATCCAAAGGGTAATAGGGTATACTAGCTTAGTGCGAATGTATGTAACACACAGAAGGAGGCGTGGAAAAGTCCACACGAGTCGATATAGCCATGTCCGTCTGTCCGTCTATCCGTCCGTCTGACCGTCTGTATGAGCGCAAGGATCTCAGGAAATACATACAATAGCTAGAATAACCAAACTTGGTATCGACGTTCCCCTAAGTCCCAAGCACGTCAAGGTTATTTGTATACCCTGCACCCAAAGGTACAAGTTTTGTGCGAATGTATGTAACATACAGAAGGAGGCGTGTCAAAGCCCACATTGTATATATATTATTGATCAGGGTGACAAGCCGAGTCGATATCGACATGTCCGCCTGTCTGTCTGTATGAGCGCACGGATCTCAGAAGGTACAAGAGCCAGAATGACCAACCTTGGTATCCAGATTCCCCTGAGCCCTAGGCAGGTCAAGTTTGTTTTTTATGTTTATAAATGAATAAGTAAAAGGCTATACTAGTTTTGTGCGAATGTATGTAACATACAGAAGGAGGCGTGGCAGACCCCACAAAGTATAGTATATATATTATTGATCAGGAAGCTCTGCCCGCAGCGCTGCCAGCAGCTGTTGTTATTGCTTTGGTTCAACTTTGTGCTGCATACATACACGAATATAAACACGCAGAGACACGATTCTGATGTAAATGTATGCTGTTGAAACTGTAAATGAAGATGTCTGCACTTTTGTATATATGTATTGAATATTTTGTATTTAATTTAATTAAATAATTTAAATAATAAAATTTTTTAAAATTAATTAATTTTTTTTTTTTTCATTTTTTCCTTTTTGGTGGGAGGTACAGGGACGTAAGAGTAAAAATCACCTTTTTGATCGATTTTACCTCTTTTGGTATTCGAACTCACGTAAAGGGTGTATAATCGCAGTCAACCAAAGCACCAGCATCAACAACAGCCGCGGGCAGCGTTGAGCAGCGCTGCAGCAGCAAATATATTTATGGCTATAACTTCTTGTTAAATCGGTCTATTATGATGAAACTAATGCTTCGGGAAGTGTACATATAACCTATCCGTAGCAATTACCATCCACACCTAGTCGTGGAATACCTTGGCTGTTACAAACGAGGTACACAAACGACCGAGTACACGGCGGTATATCTGTATATTGTGAAATGCTGATCCTAAAAGGTCCTAGCTTGAATGGTCAATTGCTAGTCAGTAACTGAAGTTGGCGTGTCTAATAATTACATGTGGCAGCCTCGCCAATTACACTAGGCTACTGTGGGCTAATAACCTACATTGCCAAAACTCATCCTATTACTGAAGTCAACCCAAATTTTAGTAATGTGAATATAAATACGATTACCGATGCAAATACAAACGCGAATTTAGGTACGGTAAATACAAATACTATTGCAATACCGAAGAACAACTCAACTGTGAATAATACTGCTGATAACTCGGGCAGAAAAAATTTGTGCAATTGAAAAAAATACGACTTGGAAATATAAAAGTTCGTGCTTGAAGCCTCCAGACTAGCACAAGCAGAACAAATTCTTAACGACTACACATAGGCGATTATAGGAAACGAGATTCAGAAACGCGATGGCAAAGCTGCGGAGAATTGAAAACTCAACTATTTTTTATATTCTGGTGGTGACTCGAGTGGTCAAAGAGGTGTTGCACTGCTACTAACCAAAAGATGCCGCGATTCTAAACTGAAATGGAATCCAGTTTTTGATAGAATTTTGTATGCAAAACTTAAGGCAAGGCGAAGAAATATCTCAATGCGACACCCCGGCGCTCATGACGTTAAATAAGTGATGGGTGATCTAAATGCGAAGGTTGGTTCGGATAACTCTAGCCGTTGTGCGGTGATGGAGACTTATGGCCTAAGCACAGTCAACAACAATGGAAATAGGCTCATTGAATTCTGCCAAATGCAATCGCTAATAATGGGTGGCACTATATTTCCGCATAAGGACATCCATAAATACATGTGGACATTCCCTAACGGAATGGTGAAAATCCTGATTGACAATCTATGCATTTCACAACGATATAGAGCGTACATGCAAGATGTAAGAACATATAGGGGAGCTGACCTTCACTCCGACCACCATCTTCTAATAGGTTATTTTAAAGTAAAGCTATTATACGGTATAAAATGAAATAAGCTTAATATAAATGCTATGAATGAAGAAAAAACTGAACAATTAAAAGAGCGAATAGCGTATCTACTCAGTATGATGATCAGCAAATGATATGGGATCAAATTTCACAAAGACTTCTATAAATTGGAATGGAGGTAGTAGGTATACAGAATTATGTAACAAATCGTGGATATTGTATGCAACATGGGATGTAATTAATATAGCGCAGCTAATTAAAACAAAAATGAAACAAAATTTGAACACTGAGAATAAATCAGCATAAGAAACGATGTCTTGAAACAAGTTAAAAAGTCTGTTCGAGACGACAAATGCGCCTATTTCGTCAACATCGCCGACTGAGCCCAACGTGCGGCTGAGGCAAATGATCTTACTATCGTATACGAAAACATTTCAAAATTAACAAATGTGAATTCTTCAGCAAACAAGCCAATATTTGATGAGGATGGCTGCTTAGTCACAGGCGTAGGAGAACAAACATCTGGAAGCGACTCTTCGAATAGACACTGGGATCAAACAATAACATAGAGGCTGCAGGTTCCC